CATGCAGCCCTTGAATAAAACTTTGTTGATCGTAAAGGTGCCCACTGGACTCTAACTTTGTCCAACAAGCTATAACATCAGCTTCCCGTCACAATCAATGTTCCCTCTAAGCTGTGGAGTCCTGTGAGCAAAGATTCCACTTCGTCAGCTACTGGCATTAGAATTGTGAGCAAGTTATTTGGCTACTGCATAAATTAGTTTGCTCTGGAGCCATTCTTTTTGCGCTAAGACAAAAACGTTTGAGCCGGAGGCTAAAAAACTGTGAGCCAGCTTGCACTAACTCAGCTTAGAGGGAACACTGGTCACAATATTCATTATCTATTACTTTCTGGCAATGTTCAGACTGCTAGCAAGACTCCAAGATCCAGCTTCCTTCTACGCAGTGTCTTTTCTTTCTTACTACCACCAGGGTTGCCAGCTTCCAGGTGGGGCCTGGAGATCTCCTGTCATTACAGCTCATCTTTAGATTACAGAGATCAGTTCCCCTGGAGAAAATAACTGCTTTGGAGGGTGAAGTCTATGGCATTCCACCCCATTGAGCTACCCTCCCAACCCCAGACTCTGCTCATCCTGGGCTTAACCTCTCAAAATCTCCAGGAATTTTCCAGCCCAGAGCTGGCAACCCTACGCCAATCTCAGCCTCATCTTCTCCATGCACCTGGTTCATCTGATCCTACCTTTATTTTGCAACCAACTCATAATTTGATTTTAGGACATAAATACCATAGCTACCTTTCTGATACCTCCAAAGGAATTCAAAAACCAGGGGAACCCCTGCCCAGACTGGCAACCCTAATTTACACCGTGTAATCTACTTTGCGTTTTAGTGAGAAAAATGGACTATATAATAAATAAATAACAAACTTTTCTGAACAGTCAACAGTATTAAAAAAGGATACATAAATGGAAGTTGCCATGGATTGAAACTAGATTTTACATATACAAAGCATGTGCTCTATCACAGAGTGTCCCCACCTGGTTTGTACTCAGAAGGGGGAGCAAGGAACTGGAATCTATAAATGGATGTCTGTGACGGACTGCACTTTTAAAAAACTTAAAGTGCTATAAGTGCTTATAAGTGCTATACAAAGAGCTGAAAGACTGGGAGGGGTTAATTCACAGAAACAGAGGGCCATGAGTGACAGGCTGCTCCAAGCAGTCTGATTAGTTAGCATCAGCTGAGTAGAGAAAGACTTGAGAGAGCTGCAAGCTGAGGAGTCAGATTTCTACCTTGACTGAGTTGAGTACTGACAGTCTGATTTCAGCCCTAGCTGAGAAGAGTCGAGTACGGACAGTTTCAGAATTCAGCCTTAGCCGACAGAGCAAGGAAATTTTGGAAGTAGGCAAAGACTCCTATTCAGGCCAAGGAAAGGGGATAGATCTTCTAGAAAGAGAAGAAAATTCCCTACCCAGTCAAACAGGGAGTTAGCTCTGAAGAGAGCAGAGATCCCTGGTCTGGTCTGGTTAGAAACTGCTTCTAGAAACCTTAAGAATCAGTTAAAAATGCAAGATGAGTACTAGTGTACTAGATGAGTACTAGTATACCCTAGTGTACTAGGGTCTGGGTACAGGAAAGTGTGTACCAGAGTCAGACAATACTCAAATAAAGTGTACTGGAGTGTTAGGAAAAATACTGAATAGCTTAGGAAACTCTCATTAACCTGAAACATAAGAACTAAAGTCTGTGCATGTACTGGTTTTACCTCAGAAATTTAAACTCCTGATTTCACCAGACCTTTCTCCTTTATGTTAAATAAAATATTTTGTTATTTTTGAATTTCAAAACACCTCGAGTGCCACCGAAGTTTGTTTAAGTTAAGTGGGCTCCTGATCCTTCCCTCAGGTTCCTGGGCTGACCGACAGCCAAAATATCAGACTCGGACAGGGTGGGACAGCCAGAGTTCTTCAGCAAAGAAGTAAACACATTACTAGGTTGGCCCAGTCAGTAATGGGAAAGAAAAACAGAAGGAAAATCTTGCTTCTAAGTGAGAGAAGTGGCCAGGGTCGCCATAACTTCCTACTAAAAAAAGGCACCAAAATGAACACACTGAATTATACCTTTTCTGTGAGTTGGCAATTAATTGGTTATTTTAGTGATTAAAAATTTATTCGAATCTTTACTTTGTCTCCTAAGACTCAGAACAGTTAATACTTGGAAACGTGTTATTGTGAAATTACTTCCTCTCAGCAAAATCCAGATTTTGATTTCCAACCTCATGTTACTTCACCTTGCCTTTTCTCCTGCCTTACATCTCTTGTAGACTTCTGCATGCATGTGTTCAGTATGCCATACTAACTTGTCAGCCTAAATATCTGTGCTGGTATAACTGATTAGTATTCAGTTATGTTCCATTCAATCTAAAAAAACCTCTTCAGGTTTCTTTCAGCATTAAAGAGAAAAATCCACTGATTATCCATAGGAGAACACCAGCTAACAAAAGTCCCATCTTTCTCTTTATTCCCAACCATCCTCTGGCCTTTAGTGTCTTTACAGGCAACAATCATTCTTCTAGTCTCAATGGCATACCTAGGACATCCACTTTTTATAGCCACTCTAGAAATTATATTATGGTATACTTGAGTCTGCTCTCTGAAGCTGTCATTCTCTAAGAGAACCAATCTCTGTAGTCTGGGAATAAGTTGTAATTACAGGAGAACTCCAGGACCTACCTGGAGGTTCGTAACGCTAGTTACAATCATTCAGTTGGTTACCTGAGCCCCTCCATATTCATGTACATGTACATGTACCTCTTCTATCAGTCCCCTCATCCACAGGTGTCAGATTAGGCTATGGAAGATGTAATTTTAAATCCCCACTCTGCTGTGAAGGTTGCTTGGTGGCCTTCGGCCAGTTAGTCTCTGTACTTCACAGGGTTGTTGTGGGGATAAAATGGATTAGGAGAGATTGATGTAGTGTCCTGAGCTCCTTGGAGAAAATGTAGAATAAAAATGTGACAAATAAAAATGTAATGAATGTAATAAATAAAATAATAAATAACATATGCTGCCTCTATAAGTACACCAATTGTACACTGGCCTTAATTGAAAGAATGGTGTATACATTACAATGAGCTGGTACACTTCAATCAGCTAGTCTTGCCTATTTATATTACTCCTCCAGGGAAATGGGAAGAAGAGCTTTGGATTGCTCAAGACCACTCAATGACCACACAACGTAAGTAAACCCAGACTGCCCAAACCCAAATCCATTATTTTCTGTAATAGTAATCCTACCATGGTCCCTTCAAAATAAAATGTTGAGATATAATTATGCTATTTAGGATGTTACAGCATAAAACTCCATGGCCAACTGAACCCAATATATCACTTAGAGTATTAACACAAGTGGAAATGTGATACAATCACAGATTTTCATAAAGAAACACATTGTGTGTGTGTGTTAAGTGTCCTACATCAGTTCACACAGTGAGGACATGTTAGTAAAGTGAGGATGTGTCAGTACAGTGCCTAGTTTTTGTCAATGAGGTGCTGGGATTTGGAAAGTACACCTGCTTGCTCAGGAAGCCTGCTCAATTCCAGATGTAAAGGAGATGGTGATTGCTCAATGTGAGATATGCTAAAAATGGCTTTGTAGCACAGGGATCTTAAGAGTATATGGTGAACTGAGAAAAGTCCTGCTTCAAATCCATGAACACAGTATAGGGGTTTTAGGCAAACCACTGCCTTCTCTCAGACTCACTTCCATCTAGAAAACAGGGTTAAAATACTGGCCTACTTTACAGAGCTGTGGCAAAGGAAAACAAGATGATACAGTACTTGTTCACTGTTGGGCATAGCCATTTTCATCTCTAAAACAACATTCAAGGTGCACCTTGTCTTGCTAATTTGCTCCTCCCCCATAACCCGTGGCACCACCCCCTGGAAGGTGGAAACACAAAACGGGAAGACCGGCAGGAAGCTGCTACTGATAGCAAACTGATGGGTGGTTATAGCATAGTCCAGGCCTTGAACCACTTTGTGATATCCTCAGTCATGCCAAAACTTTAATGTGGCACTGGGTTACTTACTGTACCCACTTTCCATTCTGATTGCTGTTAGTATAAATAGACCAACAGGATCAGCAAGGGAGCAGCAGCGATGGTAGTGGGTAAACTTGCCATTGGTATGCCAAACCCCAGCAGGACAGTTGTGCAGCACTACACTGATTTCAGGGAGTACTTCCTGTTGTTGGAAGGGCCTGAGATTTGGAAAGTTTTACAACATGCTCCTAACTGTGCTTACTCAAGAGTAAATTCAGTAGTGCACTTTAGGCTTGTATCCTTAGCCTTCCATTACCACCTCAGCCAAAGCCGGCTAGAAGAAGTCTTCTGTAACTTGAAACCATCCCACTTTAACAGGCTACCATCATGCTTATTTTATACATGGAAAACTGCAGGTGGAAGAGAAATTCCCACATAAATCCATGAAATGTGCCTTCAACCCGGTTCTCACAGACCCAACAAGTTCTACTCTCTCACAGTGCATGTTTTATTATTGTTTAGATTTCTTTTACCCCACCAGCAGGTTGTAATCCCCTTAAGCCTTTTGAATCTTCAGAAAAAATACTCGTAAATTAACAAAAAAACCCACTCGCGTCCCTCCGCAACCCGCGACTACAGCCAAACGTAAACCCAACCCCCTCCGGCCGCCACCCTGCATTGTTCTTGCTGCCTCGGCAGGCTACTGCGCGGCTCTGTCTGTCCGCTCCGTTCAAACTAAAACGCCCTCAACTGCTAATTTCTCCTCGCACAGAGAAAAGCTTTGCTAGGCGCGGGCACCACGCGCTCGGCCCCTTTCGGGGCGCGCACTCGCCGGTTGTTGACCCGACACGCACGCACTCTGTGTGTGTGTCTCTCTCTCTCGCTCGCGCGCAAGGAAGGGGTGGGTGAGGAGGAGGAGGTGAGTGGCGTTTGTGACGAGCTCCTGGTGGAACGGCTGAGCGGTCACGCGCACGGAACGGTGTGTGTCTCGCTCACTGTGAGAAAAGGCGGGGAGGGAGGCAAGGAAAGGAGACAACCGGGGCGGGGAGGCAGGCGGGCGGGCGGCGGCCGCGGCGTTCTGTGAGGCGAAGGAGAGACGCTGCCGAGCAGGAAGCGCTGCCACCGAGCCAGGAGCCAGCCAGTGTCTGCCCAAGAGCGAAGAGGGCAGAGTCTGCGCTGGTGAAAGAGAAGGGTTTTGTACGGGCGAGGGGCGGCACCAGAGGACTGACCTCTTCCAAACTCCCCAGCCCCGCGTTTTACAACCCACCGGGAACTCCGCGTAGAAGCCGCGCGGCCCGCCGCGGCCCTCCCGGCGTGTGGGTGGCTTCGAGAGGGCTGCTGAGGAGGATGTCGGGCGGTAGTGGCGGCAGCCGGGAAGAGGAGCGGCGCAAGCTGGCCGACATTATCAACCACTGGAACGCGAACCGGCTGGACCTGTTCGAGATCAGCCCCCCCACTGAGGTGAGCCATTGAGAAATAAGAGATGGCCCCTTCCTTTCTTTCGGGGTGGGGGGTGGGGGGGGAGCTGAGAGGTGATACCACCCGACCTCTCATGCTCCTCCCCCCCGAGAGTGCACATACCTCGTCCATCTACGCCCCCCCCCTTCCTCCTCCTCTTCCTCATGGAGGTGAGGCCGCCGGCGGCTGCGCTTCCTACCAGCGCCTCCATCCTCGCCGACCAGAGACTCCGCCCCTTCCCGAGGTGAGAGACCCATCAGCTCCAGTATGGCACACCCCCACCACCGCTTCCCAGGAAGAAGGTCCCTTTCTCCCTGTCGCCGTCGTTCGGGGAGGCGAGATAACCGGCACCCGCTAAACTCCTCTCTCCATTTGGATGAAGGAAGGCCGACTTCCACCGTCCTTCCCTTGTTCTTAGTGGGGAAATAATCCCCACCAGTACCTGTGTATACCCCTCCTCCTCGCCCTTTCCATTGTCGCCGTTTCTGTCCTGGTCCCGTAGATGAGGGTTTCTCGCCCTTTCCTGCCTACCACTCACTATTGAGTTGTTCCCGGTTCTTACCCCCCCCCCCGTTTTCCTTTGGAGGAGACACCGTTTCCAATACAGGCCTCGCTGTCTTGCCTGCCCCGCCCCCTTGCAAATCTTCAGGTCAGCCTTGCCTTTTGATGGTGCCCTGGTATTCTCTGAACCCTTCTCTGCATCCTACAAGAACCAACTGGTGGTCCCCAACGTAACCCCCCTCCTTTCCAAGGGCTCCTCTGATTCAGTAGAGTGTGTACAGAAACAGTGACAGCTCCCCAGTAATTAAAATTTTGGTATTTTGTTCAGGAGAGAAAACCCAGGGTTTAGTTCCATAGAATTTACAGCAATAAGCGTTATAATATTTTAAAGGGATTCTTTGTTTTGTGTGATGTTTTTCTACTTTGTAGTTGGAGGTTGAAAAAAGTACTTCTGAGCATCTGGTAATAGGTGTGTGAGACTTCTGAGATCTGGGGTGGGACCTTTTCATAGATTAGGAAAGGGGAATCCAGGTGGTTTTTGTAATAGTTGTTTGACGGTGGAAGATAAAATTTGCAAAAGTGTTACACTGCCTGAAAATAACTTTCTTGAAATGACGAATAAAATGAGTAGTGGAATGGATGGCTAAAAGAGAAGGGATTGTTGCATTCATAGGATGTAACAAAAACCTGACAGAATGAATGATTACAGAAACTCTGAACACGCCAGTATTTTATTAAAGTAAATATTATGATCAAGTTTCACTGTCTTGAAAACTGACAAGCTGTACTGGCAAAATATAGTGGGTAATTTCTTCTTAATAGTTTTCTCAAAAAAGGAACAATCAGGTCACGCCCCATTACTGTGTGTCATTCTTTTTGGCTGGTCAGTGTGTATGTGTGAGTCAGTATGAAAGGTGTGGGTGAAGTATTAATAGGCAGTTCTTTCTGTTGCGGTCAAAACAGGATTGTACTCTCTTTATTGGGTGAAGGCTGATCATGTGCCTGTTCTCATGGAAGAGAAGGAAATTTACACTTGCTTTTGGCTCTGTTCTTCAGTTGCTAACAAAAGCCCAGTGATTAATAATGTATTTGTTTTCTTTAGCTTTAAATGGGCAACATCAAGACAAAATGATTCTGAAAACATTTTGAGCTGACTTAGGTTTGAGGGAAGGAAATGTCTTTGGGGAAAGGGCCAGTGGTAGATCATCTGTGTGGCATGCAGATGGTCCTGGGTTCAATATTGGCATTTCCAGTTAAAAGATCTCAGATAACAGCTGCGGGGGTGAAAGACTTTTATCTGCTCCAGTGGCTGTAGAGCTGCTGCCAGTCAACACAGAAAACATTCAGTTAGATGGACAAAAGTTATAAAGCAGTTTCATATTTTTATGTTCTCATTCTCATGACTTTTATGTAGTATTTGAGTTTGTAATGGATGAACTCTTGTACAGGTAGTCACTGAGAGAGACCATCTTTTCAGTAACTATTAGCATGAATACAGTTAGCCTTTCTTAATTTTGGACAGCAGTAGTTTGCCAGTTCAGATTTTCATTCACACAGGATCATTGGGTTCATAAAAACATTGGTGTGTAATTTTACATCAGTATTTTTCTTTGGCCTCCCTTCTGATTTTATGACAGGTTAGGTTTGTGCAGTCATTATGTTAGCAGCTGCCAACTAAGACTTGAAAATCTAGTTGTCTTATGTCACCTGTGCAATATATCATGATACCTTCTTCTATGAAGAAAAAATTTCCCAACGTGATAAGACTGGGGCAACTGGAATTGCTTGTTGAAAAATATGTGGCAAGTTGTACTGTGGAACATTGTTCAGTTTTTTAAAATATGTATGTTGGTGTATAATGATAAAAATCTGCATTTGTGATTTTCAGGTTGCTAGAATGTAATGCCATCATTTATCGTAAGGATGCGTAATTTAATTTTGTCTTTAATGCACTGTAACAATTCTATATAGCTTCTTTTTGTCGTACTTCTATGTTTGTAGTACTCTCTCTCTCTCACGCATACTTCATTTTGGGGCTAGCAGCGTTAATGGGGATTCTATGGGATGCCTAGTGGTGGAGTTAAGAGTGTTGCTTTGTTTATTTATTTATTTATTTCATTCGACTTATTATACCGCCCTGACCCCAAGGGGGGTCTCTGGGCAGTTTACATAGGGGGTTCTAAGAACGGTTGCTTCCCTAACTAGGGCCACATGGTGTAGGGACTCTTGTTCTGTGGATTCTTGTACCATTTTCTGTTACGTTTTGCTTTGTCAGTGGCACAGTAGCAGGACATAGAAGCGCTGTTGTTGAAATGGTGACTGGGCCATTCCCTGTCAGTGTCTTACAGTGGCTGTGCCATCTCTTTGGCTGTGTTATGAGGGAACATCTCAATAACTGTAGCAACCAGATCCCTTGTTGTCTGTCCTCCCTGGTATCTGATGAAGGACATTTTGAACCATCACAAACTTATACTTTGAAAATATTGGTCTCTAATGTGCTACTGAACTGGAATTTAGCTCCTCTGCTGTAGACCAACACTGCTACCCCCCTGAAACTATCTCCTCCCTTTAAGTTTCATACATTATGTACCTTGGTACAGTAATGTCAATCTTCCAGAAAATTTGAAGCCATGGAGGGCAAAGTGTTTTTTTCTGATTCCCTTTGTAAACATTTTGAGAAATATACAGTATATATTTATCACTGAACCTACACTTTTTATTCTGTTCCTTTAAGAACATAAAGTGCATCATGGTAGTAAAATGTATATGTATAAATCCTATATTCAAACAAAAATTGAAAAAATACTTAATAGTAGAGAGAGGAGAGAAAGCTATATACGTCTACATCCTTTGCTGCCTGGATACATACATCTTAGGTTTTCTACCTGAGGCTTTCTCCCCTAAGGTTTTGTTACTCATAACAACATACATTTTGTAGTTTCTCTCTCCTGCCTCCTTCTGGCTGTGATGAGGAAGGCCCTGGGCTGGAAATGGAGGGGGCATCAGCTGTGGTGGAGGAGCTGTTGGCTGTTGCTGTGGAAGCCCCACAGGGCAGGTCACCACCACCTTGGAAGATCAAGCACTGCCTGTCCCATCCTGACCGATGGCTGGAAGAGTCTGGCCATGCATAAACTAGCTAGGGCATGGCTGGCTAGTAGTCATTGTTGCCATGGTACAAGATGGCATCCTGCTCAGTTTACAGCAGAGGTTAGGCACATGGATTGGGGAGGGGCCCTGTTTGCAGCAGCAGGTGCATTTCCTGGGATGGGTCTTAAAGGGGGTAGCCTGAAAGAGCCTTAGGCTGGACTAGGGTAGAGAGGGTGGTTGAGGAGATTGGCGTAACATCCTGGCTCGGGAAACTGGGGCAACTATGTTACAAAGAAGGTTTATCTTGAAGTAAAGGAAGCAGCTCAAAATGCTTGCGTCTCATGTGTTTTCCTGAGCAGGTGGACCTGCATTGTGCACAGTGGAGAAATGCCAACCTCCCTGCTGCTTGTGACCATAAGTGCTCAAACAGACTTTCTTTATACTCCAGTAAGGCAAGGCAATTAGCTGCTTGTTTCCTTGTAGTAGGGTGTCATTGTGTTAGTCCTTTAAGGAGAGAGGTAAAAAGGTTTACCATTGGGCGGGGGCAGATTAAGAGGACAGCAGATTCAGATTACTGATTTCAAGTCCATCTTCGCCACACTACATCAAAGTTTCCCGGTAAAAGGCAAGTACCAGTCCACAGGCAAAGAGTGGACCCTGTATGTTCCTTACAATTTTCAAGATTTATTTTCATTAATTACACTCTTAGGTTGCATTTCCTGCAAGAAGCTTGGGGGCAGTGTACATTATTCTTCAGTCTTCCACTTCACCTCACAGTATTGTTGTGAGGACAGGAGAATGAGACTGGCCAGAGGTTACCAAATGAACATGACAGCATGCCATAAGTTTAGAGATGCATTTAGGCTTTGCGTGTTGCGTATGTTCACAATATAGACAGGAATGATCATTATCTAATGTTGCAGATTTTCTTGCATAAGAATCTTCATACTGCACAGATCTTGGACAGTATTTTGAATGAGTGAAATCTTGTGTTACTTTTTTTAGCTTGTCCTGAGAGAGAGGATATTTCATGAGGGTTCTCCCCCCTAATATACCCCCAAGTTTACAACTTTTCAATTGGAAAAATGAAGAAATAAAGTTGTTTGCTTTGACTTTGCTGTTATTCCCTACATATTTGTACCTCTCTGACATTCCCTACATATTTGTACCTCTGTCACAGTTGTCAGGTGTTCAGTCAGGTAAGTGCAGCACTGCTAAAACGTGTCTTGGGGAGGACAAATGTTTTCAAGATAACAAGTGATCTTAGTCTGTAGGAAGTAAAGTGAGTGCATTTTTCTTCTAAATTAGTAAAATTTAGCACTGCCCAATGAAATACACGGGGAGTAGGTGCCGGATAGATGAACTAAAGTAATTCTTTATATATCATGTAATTAACTGGTGGAGCTTCCTGAAAC